CAGCTTTTTAGAGCTATTTTTGAAATTTGCTAAAAGGTAAATAATAAATGTGTTACATTGTATCTGGAATAATTTTCTAAAATTAAAATTATTAAAATGCTTTTACAATAAAGAAAATTTTAGTTCTTGAGCTGAACCTTTTTGGAAGGTGTTTACATGCAGCTCCTGTGACTGTGGCAGTGGCATTCCCATTACAACAGAAGCTTCTACTTGGCTGTCCTTCATAGAGAATATCTTCAGTATATATACATATATATATATATATACATATATATATATATATTCTGTTGAATACACACACATACACACACACACACACACACACACACACACACACACACACACACACACATTTCTATCAATCACTGGGCTTGAACTCAGGGCTCAGGGCCTGGACACTGTCCCTGAGCTTTTGTACTCAAGGCTAGCACTTTACCACTCTGAGCCACAGCACCACTTCCAGTTTTCAGGTGGTTAATTGGAGATAAGAGTCTCATGGACTTTGCTTCTTGGGCTGGCTTTGAACCACAATCCTCAGATCTCAGCCTTATGAATAGCTAGGATTACAGGCGTGAGCCACCAACATCTGGCAAAAAGTATTTTTATTATCACAAGTGCTTTGGAATGTCCCCCCAAAGTCTCAATAATTTCTAAGTAGGCAGTAAAAATAATGTAATGTCCTGAAGTAAGATATAAGATGCAAGCACTTTCAAGAACCTAGAGTTGTGTACAATGGCTTCTTGGCCTCTTGTCAATCAAGGAAACTTAAGATTTGTTCTGACCAAGCCTCATAGAGAATAGCAGAGTTCCAAAGGATGTTGTCTAATGCTTTCAACCTTGTCTGGATAGGATCATAGATCCCTTTGAGAATCCAAGGAAGATCAATGTTAAATCCTTTAGTTAGGAAGCTCATTTTTGAAAACTAGCCCTAAACTTTAAGAGTATTTTGCAGCAGGATTGAAAAGCAATGATCTAATTAGTGTTTTGCTCTTTCATGTGTGAGTTTCCTTAAGATGCTACCACCTACCTTTACTGCATTTGGTTCAGCAACATAGTAATCTTCATTCAGTCACTTTGGATAAATAGTGATACCTTTCAAATGGGTCAGATCTAAAAGAATGAGCTCATCAGCAAAATAGTAGGATAGATTGTATCCAGAAAAGAAAATCAAGATGGGGAAAAGATACTTGGACATTTTAGCATCACATGGGAGTCATTAAGAAAAGCTTTCTAGAGAAAAGCATGGGAAAAAGAGAACCTGCAGTAAAACTGCAGAAGGGGAAGGATGCTTGTTTCTCCTTCCTGCACACACAAAGCTCAGCTTCTTGCTTCATCCATCCCAGAACATGTGTGGCGTTAAGAACCTTGACCAAACACTTCAAGATATTCTAGGTGGTAAGACATTGTTATAATCATTTTTTTCTATTCTATCTTTCAATCAACCTAAAACTTAAAGATTTTGATGAAGTGACCCAAATATTTGTCTACAGTTTCTCTGACAAGTACAGGGATGTCAGTGACATCTCCATTACATTTTTCATTCCGTTCAAGAATGTGAAGTACTAGAACTCTGCAACACAAGATGCATGTCTCTCTTCCTGACCTTTGAAACCGTTGCACTGGGGGCTGTAAGTACCAGTACTTGCTCTCTCATCGTGTGGCAGCTCATGCACATGCCTGCCATTCAGAGTTTTGGAGTGTGCATTGACATCTCTGTATATGAAGATAAACCGGTGCTTGTTCAGATCAGGACCCGATACAGGGGCCTTGCTGGCAAGTTGTCAGAAATCTCACGTTAAAATGTACCACCCATATATCACATAATGGCCTTTCTACTCATGAATGGGCCTATTCAGGCTGTCATCTATATCTAGTCTACAATTGTCTTTTTACGATAGAAGCAAATTTTTTCATCAGAATAGACATTAGATCAGCACCTGCTACTAGTCAAATGCACGATGAACAAGCAGTTAAATGAAATATATTTCTGTAGCAACTCAAATTTTACATGTTAGGAGCAAAGAAACAGAAAGTGACTAGACTCCTAGGGGAGCCTGGAAAAAAATGTAACTGTAAGAACATTTCCCTTTGAAATTAGACAGTATCCCAGTGTAGCAAATATCCTGAGGACACAGCATCAAGCTGTCTGGGTGGGGAAGAGGCAGTGTACCAACCAAGACAGAAGAGGCATCAGTGTCACTGCTCTAGCAGTAAAGTCATCCTACACACTTGTTTCCAGGTCCCCATAATGGCACTATAGTTGTTACTGCCATCCACGAGGGTAGACAGAGTGATGAGACAATCTGTCTTCTCTAAACGAGACAATCGGTTCTACAAGATTTTCCCCAGGCTGAGGCATTTGGCCTTTGTCATAAGCCTAGTAGCATTGCTGATAGAGTCTTTTGATGAGCAACCTGATTTAGTTGTGAAGCTGAATTTGGCAGAGATTTGGGTCCTATAAATGAGTGAGTACATGGACAAAGGACCTGAGGTTTACAGCCAGCTGCAAAGTTCTACCTGCTTCCTTACTGTTCCTTCACAATGCAGTGCTGTTGTGTGATAAATTAGCCTTTTGACACTATTACCTGTGCCCTTGTGCAAGGGAATAATTATTTACAAGCAGGACCACATTCTTGTCTTAAGAGTCAGTTCACCTGGGTTCAATCTGTTGTTCTATCACTTGTATGTAACTGAAACTTTATGGTCCAAGTATCTGATGGGAATAAGAATAGAGTTATTAGAAGGACATTAGATTATATATGTAAAATATTCAAGAAGAAAGCATCTAATAAACTTTAGTAGCCATTATAATTAAGCACTTACTTTATTTTCAAAATGTCATGTTATCCTGATCAAATATGGAGGACAGAGGCTATTGGCTATGAATCTCACACTTGTCTTGGTTCTAAAAGTGTACACATCAAAAAAATTATATAAATTCAATTACCAGAAAAAATATTGGCTATTCAGGAGCATGTATTTGAGAATGTAAGCCCATGACTGGAATTGGCATATGTAACCACTAATGAATATTATATTTATTTCTGGGCATCTACTGTGTCCATGTATGACAATGAACCCCATAAAAGCAGCAGTTTGGCATTTTTGCCAAAAGGAAATGAATTAAAAGGAAGAGTAGCAGAAGCTTCACAAGGAGAAAAGTGCCCTATCTCTCAACCAGTGTCAGAATGTGGAAATGTTTACAAAATGCTCATTAAGAGAAAAAGGGATTGTGAGATAAAAACAAAATCTGGTGAACAAGTTTATACTAGGGAGATAAGAAAGGCTAGGCCCCTATAAGGGATTTTGTTATCCAATTACTGCAACCTGACTTGCTGGAGGGAGAGGAGGGGGTTTAGAGAGGAAGATGGCAGGGGGAGGGGGAAAGAGAGGAAGAGTTTCCAAACTTGTCTCCAGCGACACGAGACATTTACGCCCTGCAAGATAAAACTGCCACTTAGAGGCCAGGAGAGCTAAACCTTCCTGGGTTGGCCTGGAGGCTTGAGCAGAGCCATGGGTTCTCTGGTCCTGCAGCTGAGCGCTGCCTTATGCCTGGTGACTCACTCTGTTTCTGGTAGTCCCATCATAGGGCTTGATCAGTCACCCCTAGAAGAAGATATGCCCCTCTTCGAAGATGTCTTCTCAGAGCAAGATGGTGTTGACTTTAACACACTTCTACAGAGCATGAAGGATGAGTTTCTCAAGACATTGAACCTGTCTGACATTCCCATGCAGGATTCAGCCAAGGTTGACCCACCAGAATACATGTTGGAACTCTACAACAAATTCGCCACAGATAGGACCTCCGTTCCCTCTGCCAACATTATCAGGAGCTTTAAGAATGAAGGTAAGCTTGCATTTTCTTTGATAGTCTCTGGCTTGGATTTTTCTCATGAAACAATAAGCAAATTTATGCCTGAAGATAATAGGATGAATCCATCCCACAGACACAGAAACAGTGAACATCTTGTTCTAAAATGATTCATATGGATGAAAGGCCTAAAAACAATTTCTAACACAAGGCCACTCAATTGAATCTTTACAAAGTGTTTAATCTGGAAATCAAAGAAAAATATTGGTCTGCTGTAATAGGTTTGCCATTTTCCAGTTAGGCCTAGGTTTTCATTTGGGATTTTAATTGACTGCAAAACCCACCAGCTTCTACTTAGAATGAAAATGGGAAAGAGAGGGAAGGGGCGGAGCGGGGGGGGGGGGGGGGGGGGGGGAGGGGGGGGGAGGGGGGGGGAGAAGTTAGAGATCTGTGTTTTCGGTTAGACACTGAGTTTCTAACGTGATTTTGTTTAAGAAATGTTCAGGGAGAATAGAAATTTACATTTTAGAAATTTCTCCAAAGGTTGTGTTATCCTTGATGCATCAGGGTAGCTAGTCAGTTTTCAGGAAGCATAAACAACACAATCAATGATTCAGATGATTGTTTCTATGCCATTATGAAGAGCATGGCATGAGCTTTCGATTCAGTAACTAGACCTAACAAGCTAGTAAATTAGTCTTTTCTTTTTAATGTGGGACTAGTAGGAAAAAAATTTCTGGTATCTGTGGTAGAAGCTGTGGGCTCAAATAAACTATTTTAAAAATTATTTACCATTTATGCCTTAAGCAGGCATAAAAGAGGTTTGGACTAATATTGGCTAGTTCTCTTTGAAAGCAGAAAAACATTGGTAAAAGAAACTGGTCAAGACTTGAGATTCTGAGAGCTGGCTGACTTGGGAAGTTTGGATAAACATTTGGCAAATATATGAGCCTCCATTATCCCCACCTGTAACATGGGAGCAACGGTATCTACATAATACATTGACTAAATCATAAGAGAATACCAGTAAGAAGGGATTAGACTACTAAGTGCTAAAGAAACTTTAATGGCTACCATGTTGTTTAATATTCTAGGAAGTAGGTATTTTTGAATCCTCAAGACAATATTTTCTTTCAATTTTAATTTGATTTAATAAATGACCCATCAAAATTTCTGTTCAGTAGTGCATTCCTAATGGGAAAGGCAAGCTAAGATTACAGATTTCTTTTGGAGGGAAGACTGAGTTGAATGTAACCTCCACCTGTGGGAAGCCTCCCTCATTCTGCTGAGCCTTCCATCCATAGCTCAGGTTTGAGCTATCATTCTTGTTTCGTGTATGAAGGTCAGGGTATGGAATTCACCAAGCTTGCTGCTAGTACCGGAGATCTCTGGGTCAGGATCAGGCTTCCCTGGACCATTCAGCCCATGTACCTCTTCAAGTTGGTGGGAGGAAATGCGCAACTCAAGGACATGTATCCCCTCACTAGGCTCACCCTGGCAGCTGCTGTTAACTTTCTTCTGACACGTTGAGTCTGCTCAGTGCAGCTCCCCTAGGAGATAAAGACCAAAAAGACTTCAAGCTTGTTATTCCATCTGAGGAAACAAGGGCTACATCCAAGGTGGGAAAAGCAGGCCTTCAATTCTTAGTTCTACTTCACCCTTCTGTTATCATCTGGGAAATCTTCTGTTATCATCTGGGAAATCAGGTGTGTGTGTGTGTGTGTGTGTGTGTGTGTGTGTGTGTGTGTGTGTGTGTGTAGGACTTCTTCTGATACAAAATGAACATGCATTGTGGGATCATTGTAAGAATCATAAAAGACATTTGAAAAACATCTCGTGTGTGGAATTTGGATAGACTGTGCACTGTCTGCCTTTGCAGAGACATCTATGCATTGAACGTGTATGATTTGATAAGTCTTAATATATATAAGATTCTACTGAAACCATCATCAGGCTCAAAATAGGGAATGTATTCATTTCTACCAAATACTTCCTTGACTTTGTAACCTTTCTCCCACTGCAGTGAGCACTTTTCTCCTAGAGGGATTATCAGCCTCCTCTCCTTTATGGTGGAGGGAGAGGTGGGAAGGGTGCTGAGGCTTGAACTCAGGGCCTGGACCCTGAGCTTTTTTGTTCAAGGATAGTGTTGTAGCACTTTAGCCACCGCTCCACGTCTGGCTTTCTGGTGGTTATTTGGAGAGTGTCATGGCTTTCCCTGCCCAAACTGATTGAATTTCAACCCCTGGGTCTCAGGCTCCTGAAGAGCTAGAATTATAGGTATGAGCCACCTGTGCCCGGCTACTCTCCCATTTTTGGTCTTCTCCAGTTCCTTATCCAAAGGTAGTGTGTCCTCTATTCTTTTTTAAATAAGTTTTTTATTGTGAAAATACTGTACAGAGGAGGGATTACAGTTACATGAGCAAGGTAGTGAGTACATTTCTTATCAAGAGCTGTTGTCTTCTTTGTTTTTCCCCTACCATCCCTTCCCTCCCATCTCCACAACTACACTCACCCCCCACCTAAATTGTAAAGTTCTTTTTTCTATATAGCGTCTTGTACATCTCATTGTTGCAATACATCTCATTGCATCCCTGTTTAACAATTTGTTTTTTCCCTTCTGCTCCCCAAATTATACAACATCAAATACAGTGAAAACAGGGGTTATACCATGGGGGAGGGACATACAAAGCAACAACAACAAAAAACATGTGGTATCTTATAAATACGTTAGAAGCAATAGCAAGAAAGAAAAAAACCACTTGTGTCCTTATCTTGGGGTTCATTTCACTTAACATCATCTTATCTGACCTTTTCTGCTTGTCTCAGACATATACTAGTTATTGCAAATAAGGGAAACCATCGGACCTATGTTTCTTTGGGCCTGGCTTACTTCACTTAATATAATTTTCTCCAAGTGTGTCCTCTATTCTTATACTGAGTGGACAGTTCCCAAACTACTGCTGTTTTAACCCAAAATATTAATGACATTTCAAGGACATACCTGAAAGGCAGAATCAGCAACTAATGAATAGCTTTGAAGTTCTGTCTCTGTTGGAGGTTTCAGGGTAGGGTTCAGATACAGCAGGGAGTCTGAGTCATGTTTTTGCAAAAGATGAAGGTATTAATCTTCAAAGATGAGTTTACAGCTTCATTCTGCTGGTCAACAAACATTAACTGAGTGTTTGAAATGTTCTCTGCATTGTAAAGTCTGAATGGGAGCTGTGCTTGTATCAAGAGGTTAAATAAGATGTAATTAATAGTTGATTAGGAGAACCAGGCCAATGAATTTAAATTTAGTCCATAGGTCAAAATTTCTTCCTCCAGTGTGCAACATGATTTTTGTTGGTACTTAGAAGCAACTGAAAAACATGCAAAATACATTCCATATAACTTCACCTCAGGGATAAGCCCTTAACTATTTTAAGAAATAGTAAGTATAAAATAGCCACTAAGGATACCCAACTCTGGATTTTTCCTCATTTTGGAGAGACTATTTTGATACTTCCCTTTTATTTTTTTTATTGTAACTTCAGAATTTTTATTCATTTTCTTATTTTTTATTAATAAGTTTTTTTATTGTGAAAATACCATACAGAGGGGTTACAATTACATAAGCAAGGTAATGAGTACATTTCTTATCAAGCATTGTTGCCTCTTCCTCTTCCCATATTATACCAGCATCAAATACAGTGAAAAGATCCAACACCCCTTCATGATAAAGGCTCTGAAAAAACTAGGGAACCATGGAACATCATACAGCCAGCATTATACTCAATACAATAAAGGCTGTATATGACAAACCTACAGCCAGCATTATACTTAATGGTGAAAAACTAAAGCCATTTCCTCTAAACTCAGAAATGAGACAAGTGTGTCAACTCTCTCTACTTCTCTTCAATTTAGTATTAGAATGTCTAGCTACATCAATAAGACAAGATGCGAACATAAATGGGATCCAAATAGGGAAAGATGAAGTAAAACTCTCCCTCTTTGCGGATGACATGATCTTGTATTTAAAGAATTCCACGGACTCCACTCCCAAATTACTCAAGCTGATTCAAAACTTTGGCAAAGTAACAGGGTATAAAATTAACCCTCAAAAATCAATGGCTTTTCTGTATGCCAACAATGAGAAAAGCATGGCTGAAATCAGGAAAGCAACTCCATTCGTAATAGCCCCACAAAAAATAAAATTCCTTTTACTTTTGAACATTACTAGTTAGAAAAATAGAGGGATCATCTGCCAATATCTATCCAGTTCTTTGGTAACATATTCAGTTAAGGCTGAACATTTTTAAAAAAATTCTAACCCTTTGGCATTCATTTTCGATGTTAGTTTTGCAATCACAATGCAGTTTAGCATTCTAATATCAATTCTTCATCATATTTTGGTGTCATAGAATGCTAACATTTTGTTTGTCTTCGTTGGTCCTCTCTTCTCATCCAGTGTCAAGCTACTTGCATGGATTAGCTCTCTTCCTACATAACTAGCCACCTGGTTTTCTATGCCACATACTGGGAGTTTGATTTTTTTGTACATCTTTCTTTTCAGATCTGTTTTCTCAACCAGTCAGTATTAATGGGCTCCGAAAATACCCTCTCCTCTTCAATGTGTCTATCCCTCACCATGAAGAGGTCATGATGGCAGAACTCAGGTTGTACACACTGGTGCAGAGAGATCGCCTGATGTATGATGGAGTGGAGAGAAAAATTACTATTTTTGAAGTGCTACCGAGTGAAGGGGACAACACAGATGAAAGAAGCATGCTGGTCTTAGTGTCGGGGGAGGTCTATGAACTCAACAGTGAGTGGGAGACATTTGATGTCACAGATGCCGTCAGACGTTGGCAAAAGTTAGGCTCTTCCACTCATCAGCTGGAGGTCCACATTGAGAGCACTCAAGACCAACTTGAGGATGCTGGAAGAGGACAGCTGGAAATAGACACCAGTACTCAGAATAAGCATGACCCTTTGCTTGTTGTGTTTTCTGATGACCAAAGTAGTGACAAGGAGAGAAAGGAAGAAATGAATGAAATGATCACCCACGAGCAACTTCTGGAGATGGGCAACTTGGATGTGGATGACTTTTCCAGAGAACCAGGAGAAGAGGCTTTGCTGCAGATGAGGTCAAACATCATCTATGATTCTACTGCTCGAATCAGAAGGAATGCCAAAGGAAACTACTGCAAGAAGACCCCGCTCTACATCGACTTCAAGGAGATTGGCTGGGACTCCTGGATCATTGCTCCTCCTGGATATGAAGCCTATGAATGCCGTGGTGTTTGTAATTATCCTCTAGCAGAGCATCTCACACCCACAAAGCATGCGATTATCCAGGCCTTAGTTCACCTCAAGAATTCCCAGAAAGCTTCCAAAGCTTGCTGTGTGCCCACAAAGCTGGAGCCCATCTCCATCCTCTATTTAGACAAAGGTGTTGTCACCTACAAGTTCAAATATGAAGGCATGGCAGTCTCTGAATGTGGCTGTAGATAGAAGAGGAATCCTATGACTTATTTAATAACTGTAAATGTGTATATTTTGTGTTTATTTAATAAGACTATTTAATGAGGGTGTACAGATAATAGAGGCTTCTTGCCTTTGGGAAATGGACAAGTGAGTTTGTTGCAGGAAGAACATATTTAGCTATCCAGTCTTCCAGTCTGTTTTTCTTAGGCTTGCATTTCTTGACAATGCTACATGTAACAGCAAATGGCAGGCCCACACTACTTACCTTTCACAACAATTTGAAAACAACAACCCCTAAGCAAAAATATGCTATCTACACACACTAATTTGCGTATGTCTATATGTATGTGCATGAACTGATGAGCATCTTTTGGTTCAACAGAAGCAGGTTATACTCACATACATGCATGGCTCACTGAAATGTGAATATATTAAAAGCTAATGCCATGTGTTCAGTCATCTCTGATGATTTAAGTCATGAAAATTTGCATTAGGAATTTAAGAGTTCTAACATTATGTTTCCCAAGTTCTCTGGATGTTCCAGTGTAGTTTTTGTTATTTGAGTTTCTGCTATGGCTTAGAGCTGCAGGCCTGGTAAAGGAGGACGCATGCATGGGAGGGGTGGTCATAGAAACCAGTTTTGAAAAGGAAAGTGGTCCTAGAGGGTCAACAGCAATGAGCCCATGAGGGTTATGTATTGTAGAAAGCAGGGGATGGTGAGGAAAGGAAGCCAAAAGGGAACTCAGGTTGAGCTCTGCCCCTCAGATAACCGAAAGCAAGGCCATTTGCATTGGACTTTTTTTTTTGGCTGCAAAGGACAGAAGTGAAGAGGGAGAAAGGAGAAAGGCTACAGATATATTTGTAAACTCATAAGCTGTTCTAAGGAAAGAATTCAATCTTTTGGAAAAAACAAAATAATCAAAGACCAAGAAGAGGAAAATCAGAAGGGGCCTGTTTGTTGAACTCATTATTCCTTAACATATTTTTCTTCACATCATACTATGTCTTCCTTGCTTCTTTACTTTTGTTTTCATTCTTGCCCATGTCTGGGCTTCCTTACCCTCATGTTTCACATATTTCTCCATTTTCCTGGGCCCCCTGCCTCCATGCTGTGGGCTATCAGGGGATCCCTAAAAGCATTTTCAATCAGGATAAAGAGGTACTAATCTGATATTTCTTTTACTTTCCCCAATGTGTAATTTGATTTTATTTTACTAAGATCCTTTATGACAGGGATTTCTCATGAAAAATACTTAAGTATAAGAAAAGGAGATCAGACTCCAAAAAATACATTTTAAATGCATGAATTAATGGAAAATTTTGCAAACCAATGACTTGAAAGTTAAGCTTGAATTTTGAAATTGAATTTGTCTCATGGTAAGAACACTACAGCAATTCCAATTTTCCAATGCTGTAATTTTTCATTTGGAGTTGACCAAGGCTGAGGGTGTAGGAAGTGTCCCTTACAGGAGCGGTCTATCAGGCCACTGAAGTTAGATGAACATTGAGCGTGGCTGCAGTTTCAGTGCTCCCATTCAGGATCATGGCCTCTGTTGGAGGAACCAGAGCAGAATAGGCCTCAATCCATCTGGGAATCTCCAGTCAGGCAATAGGGATAATTCTAGAATCAGGAATGTGTTTTCTAGGACATTGCCCCTCACTCCTGACCCCTGCTGAATGTTTTCTTATGAAATCTGTCCTCCTCCCATAAAAATAAAACCTGCCCGCGTATTGCATGAAACTCATAGGGCTATAAGCTTATGCTGCTCTAGAAAACAGAGGCAAGGAAAACTGTCTTGAACTGAATTTGAACCTCAGCTCTAAACATACACTGGTGCCCAGAAGGTGAGTCTTAGAGAATCCATTACCCTGGAAGAGTGATGGTTCAACCATCACTGGGAACACACTGAGTGGTAATTGGAGATGGCCATGCAATTCCAAATCCTTCATTTCTAGGCTAGCCTTCATATTCTATGATGAGGATGAGTATACACATGCACTATGTTTGCATCACTAGACATACTGGGAGCCCTCAGTAGAAGATGGTACATCCTTTATACTTCATGGTACACCCTATATATTCATAGATTCCACGGTACTTACCTTTTCCAAAGGACACTTCAATAGCCATATAGTAAAAATCTCAGCTAAACAGGATCATTTCTGGTAGCTCTTATTTATTTTATGTGTAATATATTTATAAGATAATGGTGCGCTGATAAATGCTTTATAGCCTTTAGTCCAATGTGGGAAAAAGCCCTGCTTTGTACGTTTGCACATGGTCCTACCATGGCCCACTGCAAGGTACCAATGTGATGCACATTTGGCTTGCAAACTTCCTGAACACCTAGCAGTGCTCTTGACATAAGTGCTGATGCTGGAGGTGCCAGCCCCAGTACCTCACTGTGCCCCACCTGGTTCTACCAGGCTGCTGGAGAAACCTTGTCCTGCACATCTGTAATCACTCTGCTATCGAAGAGAGATGGCCATCCTGATTGCCTGCAGTTAGGTTGTACATATTGCAGATGTTTTTCTAGTCACCCTGTCCAGATATCAGCCTGCATTTCTGTGATGTTCTTCTTTAGAAATGGGTATAGAAAAATTACGGATTACTTATTGAAGTATTGCTAGCTGAATTATGATTTCATGCTTTCTTCTTATCACCAAACAAATGATATAAACCATAA